AATCCCATCGGATCATAATCGTCGATAATTACTCGAGGTTAAATAGATATCAACGGATTAGCGTATACGATACGATTCATTCGTAAGTATTCAAAAGCCTGTTCAAAGGTCACTAACTGTTTAGAAGAATTAGCATTAGTAGGCGTTGCCGATAACAGCCGTTGGAAGACGCTAAATCTCGAGGTTACACGATCGCTCTCCCACGTGTAACGTCACGACATTACTCAGATATATAACTAGCCGAATGTAGCAATCTTAAATCTCCATTGTTCTAACTTTTTTCGAGACATTTGAAATTTCTGTTGTAGATAAAAGATAAGCATATCCATATCAGATTCGGTTTAACGAGAAACTCTGAAGATAAAGAAATTAAATAATCAAGTATCTCTTTCTTATATGTATTAGCTTCACAAGTAGTATATCAACATGACATATATCTTGAGAAGAAGTTTTTTCTATATTCTGCATCATATTGAGCTAGGATTTCTAAGAATAAATCTTCTTCATCAATTGCTATGAATCCAATAAGTTTTCTTCCATACCCTATTAGTTCTTGAACCTACACGGGTTGCACCACTCCTGATAGCATAACCGCACCAATTACTCAATATTGCATTATTGTAGCATTGATATATGGTGTCCCTTTAGCTCTGGTCTTAAAACCAAAGAGTAACAATGCATCTTCTCGAATTTTAACGATTTTTTCCCGTGATTGCTCGAAAGTCTTAGCCACATCATCACCAGAAAGAAAATTCATATCATCTATATCTCTAAAACCTATTGCTTGGACAAGATTATGGTACCGCTGACCATTGTTTTACTGAATAAAATTTATGTAAATCGACCGAGGACGGATCCATAGATTCATGTGAATTTTCCCACTACATTTCTTCTTGCATTGGAACCTTGTCTTCTGAAATATGCCAGCCTCCTAAAATATTGTAAAGGTTCAGGACTATCGTGAATAAGCACCCACCCCTATCATAGTGAGGGGTGCTTATTCCGTAAAGTCTTATCGACATTATTAAAAAACTCACACAATTTCTGCGAAAATCCTACGAGGTGATTGGTCTTGATTTGTTAGAAAATTTGATTGGTTCTTTACATATAAGGATTTAATCTGGAATAACGCCAGCCACTCCAATCCTAATTTCATGACCAGAATTGAGACATTAAAACAGACATACACTTAGACATCAAAGTCACGGATCAAACGTTGAAAACTATCATATACTTATATGTGCAACTAATAACAAGTAGTAAAACTACTACACTCTTGAAGAACGCTATATAATTCTAATTATTCTGAGCACATTGCTTTGCGCGCGCTATGAGCGTTGACGCTAAAACTTAATGTATTAATGCCTTTTAAAGCAATCTTATTGATAATCTATCTATTGTATTAGTATAAAAACAATGAAAATTCAAGTTATGCAATAGCAAACAGTTATCGTTACGGTAGAAATAGAGTATGCGGCTTCGAATTTTTCCACATTGGTTGTCTGCTTCTTTTTCTGCGCTCTTTCTCTACATCATCCATAATTGAACATACACGTTTTGTGCCTCGAAGTAATGTCTTTACATGCTTATGGTTTTTAGCAGCATATTATTTACGTATGTGACTAATAAATGATTCATAATATGCAAGCTCCGTTTGAAAATCTTCTCGTGAAAGAGTAGACTCTTCATTTTCGTTATTCAAATGTTCAGCGGCTTCGATTAACGGATAATTTTCTGGTACAACATAATGTGCATTAACTTCAGAATGCCATTTAAAGGATACACGGTACGTCGGGTAAAGTCGCTGTATAATAATCGTCGTGATGTTTTATCTATTTTCTGAACAAGATGATTGCATATTAGGAAACGACTGTGAAGGAAAGCTGGACAGCTACATATCCATCAATGTAATAACGTTCTTCTGCATGTACAGCAATGTCTTCAGTAGCACAACTTTTCCATGCGCTAAAATTCTCCCACCAATATGGATTGACTCTACCGTTTACTAGCTGATGCAACCGAGTAGTTTATGCTGCAGCTACTTTTTTGCAAAGAACAAAAACAACGTAATCTATTCGGGGAGATTAAATCTGTACAAATAGTCATGTTTTACAACTTTTCAATGGGCTTCAATTATCATGTTCGTCTTCCCCGGGATTGTTGGATTGGTACTTCGTGCCCATAAATTCCAACGTTTTTTTGTGTACCACGAAAAGATAATTCCAGAGTTCGGGGAAAGCGTGTTTGTGACAAAATTGATAAATTTCGGACAGCTGTTTTCCAGATTTCTTCCGCAGTTAAAAAATTTTATCTATTCCAAATGGTATTAACGGATGCAAATTAAATGTCGCTCAACTAAGTTGAGTATGCTGACTTAATGTCTAGCTGGGCAAACATTGTCATTGTTCGTGTTAGTTGGCACAAAATTAGGATCAATGAAATCAAGATCTGTCAACTCGAGTGTAGTAAATCTTCTGTATTTTCCTCGCTGATTTGATTTCATTTTCGTCACAATGGCTTTTTTTATATGCCAAAGGCAAAGTTAAACATTAGCATTTGGCCAAACATTTTTGGCTGCATTTATCTGAGAAAAGTTCTTGTCAGAAAACACGTAATCTGGTGAAAGTCCGAGATTTTTGAATTGAGAAAAAAATTCTGTCAAGATTGTTGTTTTTCCCATATCAAGAATATTGCTGTCTTCAATCACATACAAAATCAAGTAACCTAGCGCAAATCCTGTACCTTGATACTGGCCTATTATTGCATATAATTCAAAACATCCTTTAGCCGTCTTGTACGTTGCATCTACGTGTATTTCTTTAACATTTTCTTCAAATATGTAAAGCATGACAAATGCTAATGCTGTCAGACCCCCCGACATTAATAAAACACAACCTTTTTCCTTTAAATCGTTCTTCAAGAAGAAGTATCGCAGACTGCACAGAATTTTTGTTTTTTTGGTATGTTTTTCAGTAGCTACGCTCCATCAATAATAGATCTGTTTATAGTTATGTCTCGAGATCGAAAAGTGTTGAAAGGTGAGTGCGCAGTTGTAATGGATCCAAATGAAAATTTTTCTGGATTTCGCTGACTACTTCTGGAGGGACGCTGCTCGTTGTCGAAGGCTTTTCGTGTTGTAAAAGATGTTTAATCTGAATCTTGGCCTTACACGTCTCCATATTAATGCGAAGTATGAGTTGACCATGACATTCGAATCTTTGCATCCGCTTTCGATTAGAGTCTTGTAATTATTAAACACCGAAGATTGATTGCAAAGATAATATATTGTGCAAACTTTCTCTGGGTTTTGTACTGAGGGATTAATTTCTGCAGAAACTATAAAAATTTTGAATCAACCTGCTTCCACTTGTACCAGTCCGCATTTTCAATTTCGTCTCTGATTTGTTGGGCGATTTGATTTATTTTTACTATAATAGATGGTATGAGTATCCCGTTAATCGAAGGTGGTTAATGACTCACATAAGTCCGATTTACCGATGGAGGAAATCACGAATATGATTAAGACATCTCTCTTATGTGCCCAAGATAATAAGCATCGAAAGAGGCAGTACAAAATATTTTGCAATATATCTCCTCCAATACCCAGAAAATTAGATAATGTTTTTCGCCACAATATTCACCACTACCCTCCAAACCCTCTATATTATGGTTTTTATTACATAAAGGGCAGGGTACTGATCTATTAAAATCAAAGTAATTATTTTAAGCTATGTTTCAGAAGTTAAATAAAAAAAACACTCTAATACCATGTTAATACCGTGTTGTTGCCTTTCTTCCGGGTCTTTAGGTAAAACAGAAATTGGGAATTGTCCTGATAGAGATTTCATTGGGCTTGGTCTGCAAGTTTAATTCATCATGTTGTTATTGATTTCGTCTATTATCCTTTCAAGTTCGGCGTGAGCTGGCATAGTAGTAAAGAATATAATTAACTATTTTTCAATAACTCCCTGTCTCACGAAGTAAGGATCTAAATACTTATATTTTGCTCAATGACAGAACCAAGGTGTTAATATAATTTATACAATTATTCCGATGCAAACTGGCATGACAGTACTGATTTTAGATGCTTTACATTTAATATTAATATAGTAAAATTTATCTTTATATTCGCCTTTTATACCTTCTTCGTCCTCGTGAGTTAACTTGCATATTGGGCATAATGATTAAACATTAATCCCATAATAATCAACATTTTGGCTACTAATTTCTTCATAAAAATTGGGATACTAATACCACTCCAATAATTTGTTGCGAAAATTAGCACGGGTATGAGCTGGATTATTCTGTTTTTCAGGTAAAGTTTTTGTTTCGGGTGGTGACATGAATAGCATACTCGCCTCAGTTTTCAAGTTGGAAGAGGCATCAGATGCTTGAAATTAACTGGCATACTTATCTTGGTTTCCGATAAAATTTTTGAGATTTGATATACAGTCAAACTCGGAAACCGATAATTCGCAAAATCGACACTTTTTTCAATTCCCGAAACACTTATAATAAAATTTTACTCGTAAAACCGATAACAAATATGAGATATAGATCTCGCAAAAACCAATGCATGTATCGTAATTGGCCAATCATACTCCTAATTCGAAAAACGGAAAACCGATAGAAAAAGGCGAAAACGGCGCTATCGGTTTTCCGACTTTGACTGTATTTTGGACTTGTATCATTGCCGGTTGCAGACACATAGTGACTAGAATTTTCCATTTCGGTAGAAACACTGTCTTTTTCTCGGAAATTGGCAACTGCTCCGGAGAATCGATGGTTATTCCTTTTGATATGATTTCCTCAAAATCACGTCTTATTTTGCTACTTCGGTTTTAAGCTCAGCATTATCGGAAGCAGTATCTGCTCTACTTTTTTCTAACTTTTCAATTTTGCTCTTAAACTCTTAGTAATTTCTTCTTAAGTTCAGGAATTTCGGCATTTTCAGTCTCGAGATCAATGATTCGTTGTTTCTATAAATCTATTTCGGATAGGTCTTTAGATTTATTTCTTTGATCTTGCATGTGTTCTAGAATTAAATAGCAAAGACAGATCAAAGTCAGGATTCTCTGAAATAAATATTGTGGAATATATACAATAGAATATAAACAAATACATACTCGTAGCAACAACAAAGCCTCTACAAATTCTAATACAGTTTTTTTGTTATCTTGTGTTGGAATTTCTATAGAACGTAAAAGGAAAAGACGACTTATGTCTTCATCGTCTTTAATAAGAACATACAGATTAAACTTTCGTCCTGCAACTTGGAATCCGAGAATGCCAAACTCATTTTCACGTGCTAATATACGCAGATTTCCCAGTTGGCAGATCCTTCAAAGCAGCTCTAATAATAGGAACAATGATATTTGTAACATATGTTCCCTCACTTTTACTCTGTGTTTTAGCGAATTTGGGACTAAAAGCTGGATTTTTCCAAATCTCCCCTCTATAACATAAAAACATTAATAACGTGTATATTTTGAATGGATCAACATTATTAATTTAATATTATACTTACAGAGTATCAAGAATCCTACCGAAATATCCTCAAGAACTTCTTCCCTCTCCATCCAACTTACATGTGGAAGTTTTTGATGAGGTACTGTATCTCCATAGTGCCATCATAGTTTAATAAAAATTCTTCACACGTTGTTTCTATTGAATTAGGGAGAGGTTATCCCATATTGATATATTTTATCAGTTCCTAGAATATATCCATTTAAACATAACCTTCATCACGTAAAAAGTGGATTTTGTTCTCACAATAAAAAATTCATACTCTTCTTTTGATAACGCTTATAATCTCCTCTTTACCGCTGATAACCTGGCTTGCAAGTGGGTGTCGCCATGAAAGCTCTGAAGATTTAAACTTATCTATACTTCTTCGTACTGAATTAGCATATCTAGCTTTCTTTTTTTAAGATTCCCCTTCAATATTCGCAAATTATATTCAATCTCATAATAGGTAGTTGTTCTTCCTGTTTAGCAACTTCAAAAGTCCTGAAGACTACATACGCCTTCATAAGCATCATCAAACTAGCGCAGAAAAAAACTTAAGTCATACGTTGTTGCTATGAATAATTATTCTAAATCGTGTGCGCACACATCAGATCATATCATGCAAAATTATCAACCATGTATGGCCAGTACATAGATGCTAAATTGCATGACAAATATATTCGTCTCAAACTAGAAGCAAATAAATACCCCCATACGTCTGTGGATTAATACATTTAATGATCAAACCAGGGCTTGTATGGCTTTGGATATAACCTTACACCAGTTATCAGAATTATTTCTGCACTATCATCATATAATAATATAAAGTTTTCTGACGAACAATCTTATTAACTAACCTTTAAAGGTAATCCTTGAAGCTTTTGACATTTCTGAATCTGTTTTATACGAAGGCAAGACAGCTGTAATTGCTTGATGAAATATGTCTTAAATTTTCCTTTGCGAACCAAGGTTCTTCATTCATTGCATGAAAACGCAGTTATGTGTTCTGGTAAAGCCACACGAAGAAAATTACAATAACAAGTAGAATCATATAATGCGTTCATTCTTGCGTAATTAATTTGGATACAGAAAATAGTGTTAAGTTTCTATTACGCAAGTAACAAATGAAACCGATTTTTTTTGGCATTTCGGCGTGAGGCATGAAAATAGATTCGAGATGAAACTATGCGAAAAAAGTTTTCACAAAGAATATATATATATATATGCAATATCTGCACGGGCCATGTGTTAATTTATCGAGTTCGGTTAACATAAAAAGAGTACTCTATGAAAAGATTACATCATGCATAAAAAGTTCCATGACCTTCTGATATGGAATGATGGTACTTGTACTAGTATAGTACTTGGTATGGTTACACAAAATGGGATTTTTGCATAGTCATAGTAATAGTAATAGTAAGACCCTCAGACCAGGTGTCTGTAAATATGTTCATTGTAATTGTTCCATTTTAGCAGTAATAATAAACAGAAAAGATAAGTACAGGATGCACTAACTAGCAGCATGTTAATGTGTACACATACAGGTACTAGTACCTCTCAATATCATCACATATTAATATTTACTAGAGGATTATGAGAGGTGACACCATTATTATTATTAACAACACTAGGATCAACATTGAAACACTGTGCTCCATGTTTACTGCAGTGATATATACAGTATGTCAGTTGATTTGCATTCGAATTTGTATTCACAAGACTCTTGGTGTTTAAGAAAACGGTTTTATTGCTTCACTGAAAGTTTTGATGAGGGAGTCTGTAATCTGTGAGAGGATATCTAACTGACCTCCTCTCTGGCCGGATAAAAGTTTTAACTGATCATATCGTCCAATTTATATTATTGTTATTATTATTATTATCGACTTCCCTATCCCACCGAAGCATCATAGCAGACTGGTAGTACTACCAGCATTAGGCCAAGTAGCACCAGTTTTGTGGCTCAGCGAATAATCAGTAGGTCACCAGTCACGCCACTAACTTTTTGCCGATAAAAAAGAATTTCACTTTCCTGGCACATTTCGACTATCCATCCAATAATAAAAGATATACTAAATTCCTAAATTTATTATTTATTATTATGGTAATCGACCCGATCAAGAACGAGGGAGATCATATTTATAATCCAATTATAAACAAGACGGTGAACAGAACAACCAATAGTATTTATTTCGAGAAGGAACAATCGGGAAGGTAAAGATGCGTAGCTCTATTAATTTGCGCTTGTTATTAAATGAATTACAATTTTAATCCTTAGAAAATGACAATTTCCAAAATAAAAAAAAAAACAATTGTTTTCTCAACAAACAAGAAATCAGGTACCCCAATTGACATTGTTAATTGTGTCATTGTATTTCTAAGGTTTTGAACAATAATTATCTCAGAAATGATAGGCCGATATTAGAGTCAGCAGATTCGCAAATGAATCAAGGGTCATCATCTGTTCTGTCTTCTAACTTTAATTGTAATGAATATGAAAGTAATAAAGATCTTAGTCGCCTGATGAACTAATTTACACACGCATACAGTATTTACATATATAGATAATGACCCTGGATATTACGATGATTTTTTATGGGAAGACGCAATTAAGGATGTGAGTGACACAATGTGGTCGATGCCCTGTTACATGTTAACCAGCTATACTTATGTGCTTTTAAATGGATTCTTGAAGATTATAATCTATCTACGAGTTCCGGAATTTTCAAAAGTCAACGATTCAACAGGTCAAGAAAAGCCGTGTTTATGTGCTATAAAAAAGATATTCAGAAAATTTTGTATGCCTGTATTGTATTTATTATTATTATTATCATTTTGTGATGAATAGATGCCTCTCAAACGTAGTGTTGATTGAATCGACGAAACCAACATATCTTGATTGCAATAATGAGAAGGCTTATTTATTATTATAGATTGATGTTCATTACGACATTACCCTAGAAGTTAACACTGAAGTATCCTCTTCTATTATAGATGTAGATGCTTTCGCTTCACTGAGAAAATGGTGTGAAAATTTTTCCATCATTGCAGAGTTGAACAATAAAGAGGACAAAGATGATTTTTGTAAAAGTCAGTGTTTATTCGTAAAGCCATCGAAGCTTTCGCAGTTTATTACTAAATTTATTAATAACGACAATGAGGATAACCTTCGTCCACGACATTTTACATGACTTAATTAAAGTTTTTCGTGATTTGATGTTTGGGTAAGAGTCTTTGTATATAATCTTTTATTTTGAAATATCCTCATTATATCCTTTGGTTATGCAGACAGCGAAAGTTCATATTCAAAAGAAAATACATTAAAAAGCCCGACCACCGGAACAAATACTGTATTTGAGAGAGGTCTTCCTAAAAAATCTTTGCATGGGCCGGCTTCTGTGTTCACGGGAAGCATTACTTTTTGGTTTCAAAAATATTATGACCGGTGGATTTTACGTTGAAACCTCCGAGAATGCTTGGGGACAACTGGAGAGTTCATAAGTAATGTCCCGTCATATTGCACGGAATTTCTCTTCAGTAATGGAACGCACACAAATCAACAACAAAGCGCGTACTCATTATAGTCTTGTTCATAAGAAATCGAGTATTCGCAAAGTACCCAACGCATGCGCCCGACAGATTGTCAAGTCTTCTCTCCCGAAGCATAAATCGATTATCTTCAACTATGTACAATTTTATTGGCATTTACATAGGAATCCGAGCAACAAAACCATATCCACAATAATCAACTCTCTGTCTATGACACACTTCCGTCGCTGTTCTCTCTTTGTCTCCGCTTATGACATCAACAAATTTTTACCAATGCCAAAAGTCCACTGAAATCTGACAAAATCGTAGATAAATTGACAATTGGCAAGCACAGTGCACAGAGAACCGTCCACTCAGTTTTGAACCTTTGTATTCCGATTACCGAAAATGTCATAGTCACAAGATCGTAAGAGTATACGTCCCGAGCACTGAAGATATCAGATCGTAAGGGTATACGTCCCGAGCACCGAAAATGTCATAATCGCAAGATCGTAAGGGTATATGTCCCGAGTACCCATGAACTTCGGCATACGTCCTTTCATCGATAATGCGCTGGGTGGGACTTAGGACAAAGTACTAACATAACTCGGTATATCACCGATGGTGTAGGCCTCGGATCAGACAGCGCAAAGTTTCTTCTTTACCTTTCTTTGCTTTTATAGGCCTTGCATCATATTAATTGATCTTCCGTGGTTGTAAAATATTTCCCTGATTCAAGTCAAACCAACAACGATCTTGACCCCAATAACACGTACTTGTGAATAGTGCAATCAACAATACTGTACAAGATATGCTAGAAATGAGAGAATATGGTGAGAAGGTAGTGAAATTAAACGTAATACAAACCAAGATACTTACCATGGTCTTTGGTGAAGAAAGTATGATATTAGGAAGACTATTACAAAGAAAGGTGGTGCGTTTGGAAAGGGAAGCAATAGAAGAGGAATAAACCAACGCATACAATTCATTATCCAAAGTGTTAGTAAATGTGTCCTGTGCTGTTTATAATGGACTGCTACCCTTATGGCTTCGTTGTCAGGTTGGTGCAGGTTGCCCGGCGAGCGATTCGAAATAATGGTTCCGCTTGATTAGTTTATATTCGAACAGAGTAGCTTTGCTGTCAGAAATGTGTGTATAACAATCAATACACATGACAAGAGTGGATTTTGCTGATCACATGTCACACAGAAATGAATCCTAACATGGTTGATCCGAATGTTGCTCAGTATTGATACCCTATATTTGGCACAGTTCAGTTATGCGTAATACCGTTGATCAACGAGATGGTTATAGTAATAGTGCAAGCAGATAAGCCTAAATGGAAACACGTTCAAATTATTAGCTTACACAGAGATGCTTTTAAAGCTGATCCTGAAGTAACTAAAGAATACAAACAATTACAACATATTTATGCATCGGGTGGAGAGAATATGAGAGATCAATTTTTAATTTGATATTGACACCAAATTGGATATGCTCGTGGTATCATTAAAAGTTTAATTATTCAATTTAATACAACGGCATTAGTATTCCATTATGTCTTTACATTGATCAAAGGATATGCATCTATTCGGTTATAAATAATAAAGTATCAATAATCTATTCTACAACACATTCGTTTCAATAATCTGCATCTACACAATTGACAACATTATTTTTCCACGCCTCTTATTATAATCATAAGTCATCTTCATCTGCAATACTAAATACACCAAAATCATTACGCATGTTGCTCTGGTTTTCAGTTGGCTTGTTACTATCATCTATAAGAGATCGTTCGTAATTTTTCGATACACGCACGTCCTCGATGCTATCATCATCGTCACGATATCTAATATGGTCCAGCATTCGATCATCCAATTGGGTGGCATCTTCATCTTCCTCTTCTAACAAACCAGTCTGTAAAGACAGATCTTCATCTGGAGTATGTCGTGGTTGTAAGGCAAAGTATATTCCGTTGGGGATCAATCTGTTGGCACGCTGATAACAGACAAGAAGACTCAACGCAACGGAAACTGTTACGACCATCGACTATAAAAAAATAAGAAATGGATTTAGAGTCACGTTGGCATATCGAGTATAATGCGAGCCCTAGTGTAAAAATGTTGGCAAATGATTAAACAGCAATGACTTGAGCGGGTTCCTTACCGCAATAACAGTTTCCATTTGTGGTGCACCAAAGTCTATAAATTCTGTAAAATACGTCGGTAAATGTAATGAGCGTTTTATTTTACTGTATAGTTATGTGTAAAAAAGCGAGCTGTTGTTACCATATTCATAGCCTTCATCATCATCTTGTTCGTCTTCCGGTAACGGTAAGGCTACACAATAAACTATATAAGTTGAAAATCCGGGTTTGTAAATTTCGAGTATGTCTTAATTACACACCTTTCGTATACTGACAGAAACTCACCCAAAATAGGAGTTGGAGTTTTGGCTGATAAAGTAAATTCTGTGACCATCAAGACGTTGATATTTTCAGTTTACTGGAACCACGGCCATGAAACTGCAGGAAGAAAGCATGTACACATTTACCATTGTTGTTTGGGTTATTGATGTTAACGGTTGGTGATTGATGAATAAGACTGAAATTCTTTTCGAACGTCCAAAGATAAGAATGGTTGTGTCATCACTACATATAAGGCTAGTATAGATACACAAAATCTGTGGGGGATGCTTACGCCACATTAGTATTGACGTTTACGGAGGTTGATTGATTGTGTCGATGTGTATTATTATTATGGCCATTATTCTTAAAATTCAGCCCGCGCAAATTAATATAGCTCTTGTGTCTAATTGTAGTAAAGAGAGTTACCTTAACTTCGTTCCTGTAATGTAATTGTCGGTGTAGCGCCAAGACACATCCCAGCACAGCTCCGCCTCAAAAAGCAAATAACTTAGTTATTGTCTTTACCGGCAAATTCGAATATGGTACGATAGCTCTTTTCTCCAATTCTCTTCTTCCACTTTGTACGCACCAGCGTAGTGTACAAAATAGCATATTAGTCTCTCTTGCAATTAGACACTGTTGTTATACTTGGAACAAGTTATCCGATGACAGAAATTACGACGGCACAATTCCAGAACTCGTCTTCTTGCATACGGATAAAAGAGTGTATTGTAGCTTGGCCAGCGAAATTTCGCGTAGAGTAGGTATGACGTAATTATGATCGAATCATCGGAATTGTGATCTCATTATGGAGACACCAGTCTCACAAAACGATACTAGTTCTAATAAGACGCACATCGCATACACATGTGATAATACGTTCGTAATATATTCCCAAAGGCTATGATAATAATGATGCGAAAGTATTTAATGAGGATCGATCGAAGTTGCCCCTTTTTATTTTCCACAAACTCTTTTTTGACCTGATGGTGGACACACAAATAAGGTACGTAGGGGTGAGGGAGGCAAGAAATTTATGGTAATAAGGGGGTGGGGGTTTAAGAAGCTTACCACAAAACTTCTTTTCTTTATTGACTTTCTCTCTCTGTCATCTTTCGCATTTTTCCATCTGAGATAGTATCTCAGACGCATTTGCGTCCAAGTTCATCGAAGGCGAACGTCTGAACGTGGCGCCAACTATGGCCACACGCTTCCTACCCTCAATATTGAAAAAGCGACGGTTCTCATTGGGCGAGTCAAGACTCTTGCGAACTGGAGAATCGAGTTGGCGCCGTTCAATGCCTGCATGTTGCGACCCACCACCGTACCAAAATTTACAATTTGAGTCTAAAAAGTGTCAGTCTACGCCTCCTTCATATGAAGAAAACGAACCGGAGCAACTTCCAAAGTATTCGTGTACCATACAAAAGAGTGGTTACGTGACAATCAAACATGAGTATACTAGTCGCGATGTTAGACCACGAACTCGAACATGGAGAAAACATTATGTGGATCTCCGGGGAACGCTCATACGAATATATCGGAGTGGGTTGGTTGATTGCAAGGGTACATCGCCAACATATGAATTTAGTATGCAGAACGTTCTTGTACGTTTCGCAACGAACTATTATAAACGACGTAATGTGTTACGGATTACATTTTCAGATGGACAACAATTTCTCTTTCAACTCGCGGGTAAAGAAGAATGTATCGCATGGATTGAAAGTTTACAAGCTGCCGCCAACATTTCATTGGTACTCGATGAATGGAAGATGCCTCAATTTATTACCCTTCCTCCACAACGCCGAAGGATGCTATACGGCTGTTACGCTGATATGGCAAGACATCTACAACAGACGTTTGCTAATGATTCTACACAATTTATTATATGATAATTAACGAAAAACACGATACGGTTGTTGGACAGTGACGTAAATCTTTTTCACTTTCTTTTGATTTTCATTACAACATTCTCTTATTCCAGTAACACTCCTTATGATATTTCATGACAGAAGTCATATCATTTATCCATTAGTAGAAACAAGCATTTATCATGCAACTAGTTACATTTGTTTTATATGTAAAATATTCATACTCTCTTTTGAGCAAATCCAGTTTGTATCGAGACTAGTCTCGCCTGTATTATAGCCAAATAAAATCTGTGTAATGGTGTCAAGGACGAATTTGTCTCTTCTGCAGTTCTGAATAACACGAGCTTTCGGTCGCACATGCATTACAGACCTACTTAATTAACGTATCGCTAATTTGCTGCTCTTCACAGTCGCAAATCGGTGAAACACGCCAACAATGTTGCTAGGATTTCACCGAAGATAGCTCCATGGACTAACAAGCATGTGCCGAAAGCTCGAGAATGTATATCTTAATTTCTACTGCTCGTTATTACAGCAGATCATGTCTTTATTCGGATTACATAGTGATACAGCAGATTGCATTATTCCCACCAAAATATGGAAGTTAATTGGGGCATACTGCAACAAAACCAGACAAAGTAAACATTTGATTATTGACATAATATTAATGAATACATAATATTTATCTGAAAATGG